ATCGAGTTTTCTTACTTTTAAATTCCTTAGAAGGAAAGTCCTTGGTACCTACTTGGGTTACTTCAAACTGTTAGCAGCATGAATAGGCTTGATGAATGCAAATTCAACTAGTGATATTAAACAATTGTGTAGGTATACAAGTATGTTACTTTTCGAACCCAAAAACTTCCATTTTGTTGACTGCAAAGTTCTGTGACCCTACGAAAAAGGAGCTAGCATTTTGATCCTCAGGGCACCGGTAAGCATGTTTCAGGTTCGCAGAGTTTGAATAATAATGTGGTGTATTGGAGATGTAAAGATCATGAGCATTACCCCCTCCAAAGACTGGTCCCACGAGGTTTTGGCAATAGATAGCATTTCCTTCTCTTCCATCCAGCAGAGGTATCTTTGTAGGGGGTAGACCGTATGGGTTGACAAGGCTGAATAGAAACGATGCCGGCGCGCTTTTGTATATTCCAGTACCTATAAAAGAAAAGAACAACCGAATTAAACAAGTCTTATCACCGTTATGTTACCATTTTATGTTATTTCCAGCTGAAATGTGTACCCAGATCTTCCCCGACATAGTGAATACGAGAGAGATCTGGGTTCGAATTTTTTAAAGCGATTACACGGAGGGACCCCTAGAAAAACTATTTTGACTATTTCGAAATAGAATTTTAAAGTTCAAAGAAATTTCCCCTTCGTTGCACGGCATACCCTAAAACCAGAGAAAAATTGCTTCATATATGCTTTTCCAAGCTGTATAAAAATGCCTAGGGTTATAAACAATAGGTCTTGCTATTTCGTCAACGTGCACGGGGCCACTTCCGCCGCGCCCAACAGCTAGTACTGATTTTATCTCTATGTCCCCCACAAATCTTCTTACCAGGTGACTCCCACTGTTCCTCGGTGTAACCTCCAAATATATAATTTCCACTCTTTATCTCTGCAACTGTCGGTCCTTCGTTATCACAACAGGAGTGAAAGTTGGAAGCATTCCAGCCGTCTCGAGAAGCTCGGTACAACAACACATCGTCATGACTCGCGCTGGTCAAAGTATCTTTCAACCACTCGATCAAGGTTTTTCGTTGATATGACGAAAGGATTACTGAGTTCGTGAATGGCTTCGCTTTCAGCTCAGTAATTATCCCCTGAATTTGAAAAAATTCGGTCTCGTATAGCAATTCTTTGCAAATAACTTGGTCGTCAGGTATAACAAGTTTTCCGGTGCGAAGATAATTCAGGATGTAACGGAAGTGGGTTCCATCTCGGTCAATGAAGTAACATCCATCCTCGCCAAGTTTTGTGTCAAATCTTCCAGAAAACATAGCGTGTAACATGGAACCTGGATTAATCAGTTTATTGATGAAAAACAACACTCAGTCAAAATTCGACCAGGCTAAAATTAGGAACATGATTTCAGCTAGAAATGAAATGAACAAACCTAGATCTTTAATCATGGTTTCCAGACTGGTGGGAAAAAATACCCTCCGACATTAAGCCTCAGCGTCTTCTGGAAATGAACACGTTTAAGCTTCTTGGCGGCATTGTCAAAAGCTTCCATTTCTCTACGAGTCTTTTTTGACTGACGGTTCAAAATGTCGAATGCTTCTTTCATGCGTTTGCTTGCCTCCTCGAACGCTTCGTCGCCGGACCTATCATCCTCCTCGACTTCCTCCAATTTCTGCGATGAAGACATTTTCGAAAAGTACACAGAGAAACCAAAGCAATGTATTCTAAGGTTCCGGACGTACTGGATTGACAAAATTTGCTCTTTTGGCCCTTCCAAAAATCTCGACAAATTTGTCTCAGCCAAATTTGTAATTTGTCAAGTGTGGGCGAGCTGAGACAGCAATCAGTGATTTATGTTAACCACAAGTGTCAATCACACGGAAATAAACAACATTTGATTTCAGTAGTCATGGGCTCATGGTGATCTTTAATCTCTTCGATCGAATTTGTTGCCTCGGCATAATTATTATTTACAATGAATATATGAAGTTCATATATTTTGAACTGCGGTATTAGATACGTATGATGCACGATCCTCACAGTAGAGAGCGCTATCTATGCAATAGCGAAAATTATTGCTCGTATTCTAGTTTTTTTCTTGTATTCGTTCAACTCTAAAAGAGGCAATTGCTACTTATACTATGCCAGTGGAGGCTTCACCGGCTTATACTGTTTTGCGAAACGAAACGNAGTCAAACTCCAAATCAAAGCGTGTAAATTGACAAATCGGTCAGATTTCACGTCTGACAAAAATTTGACCTGCTCCAAGGCAGGACGACGGCGCCTTTGTAGTTTGGTAAGCCTTGACAAAATTTTTGTTGGAAAATCACAGGCGGCCCAAGCTCTCTTTGAGAACCACACAAGGAACAAAATATGTGGTTCTCAAAGAGAGCTTGGGCTGCCTGTGGGACCGGAATCGGAGTACTCGGAATTCCTGGAATGACCGAAAAAATGATAAATTTTTATTCATAGAACACAGTTTTAGTAGTTTTGGAGATAACTTTGAAAGAGGCGTTGCTCTTGAAAATTTCTGGCGCGTGGAGATTTATACTCTTGATGAAGTTAATGGACACGACTTATGGTCCAAAGATTCTTTTCAAACAATGGTAGACACGTCCGAGACTGTAAACAACAAGCAGTGTTGGCGTGACAGTCTGGCAGTTTATTTATTGCCCACCCTAATTTAAAAAAAAAATACATTCATAAACCCACTTGTCTCAGGGAACTGGTGACAGAAACAAAAATTTGGGTTAAACTTGACATCTGTTTTCACTGTGAAATTTAAGCCGTTTACTCAAAAGATTCAAATTACAAAAGCGCGCAACTTTGAAAAAATGGCGGGAGACGAAGCATTTTTAATGAATTGTCTTGTACTGATTCTCGCCATATTTCTTCGAAGGAGACGACGTTTCTTTCAAAGGATGCGACTAATATCTCGGCAAATGGAGAGGATGCGACGGATTGTGTTAATCCAGACAATCCATCAGCAAAACACCCGCTATCGCCGTAAGCACAAGACAGGGGCCGAGGAACTCTGGGATCTATTGAGGCCGGAGGAATTGTAAAAAAAGACGAGAAGGTCTTACGAGTGAATTCGTCGGCCATTTCAAAACCAAAGTGATCCACGAGGTGAGCGCGAGCGACTGGAAAATATTTGGCAGTTCACGATTTGGCAGGCACCTCTCACTACCGGCAATGTGATTGGCTGCGGCATTTACCAGGACATGTTATACCATCTCGCGAGGTAGTAGTATAACTCTGCAGGAATTTCCCGTCATAAAGGCGAGATAATCCCTTGTTTTTTCATGTGAAAACAGCTTGCATTTTTAACTCGCTTAACTTATTACGTGTTTAGACTTGAACGGTTTACTGAGGTACGAGAGTTTACTTATCTAGACAAACATTTTCCGTGTGTAAACGCTAACTAAAACTTTGGTAAATGCCGCAAAAGACAAAAGAGATTTGACCAAGGTAACCAGGCATGGTTACAGTTGGTATCCAAGGTCAAGATGACAGATATAACCGCTTGTGGCGGTGTATTGTGTCACATCCCGCGGTGAGCAGATCGTGCGATTGCCACGTTTTCCACCAAGCGTTTCTATCATGGTAGATAACAGAGAAGTCAGAGAGCGATTTGATCGATCTTCGTACGGCGAAGAATCGGTCAGGTAACTTTTTTCAGACAAACTTCTATCCTTCGTTGTGTAATAATGGTCGTGGTATTTTCCCACCAGGGAGGATGCTGCATATTCACAATCTTGACGTTTCTGTTTGCAGTTCTTGAATTAAAAAAGAAAAAGCAACGGCCAAGAAAGCCACCACTTTACTTCTTGAAGCGAGCATGGTTTTAGAATTTCCCGCCAGTTCGATTTCATAACGTAGATAATGCAGATAGCGGGAGCGTTGACAGATCAAATTGAGTCATTTGAGCTAGTGTAAACACTGGAAGAATGTACCAAGGTCAAGTAACTTGACCTTCGTAAATTTTTACCTTGGTAAAAGCTCAAATGTAAACAGAGGGTTTGGACAAGCTGTTTTCACTGAACTTCCCGACTTTTCCGACTTTAACTAGTCAAACTTGTCCTAGTGAAAACACAGCCAGGATTTTAATCATATCCTGTGGTTATTCTTGTGGGTGTTTTGTTGTTCACACCCAAACTAGGAAAGTGACATGTTCGGACAAGGTCTAGAAAAAATAAGTTCCTATGATCATAGTTAATGCATTTTGTAGTTTTATCCTGATAAAGTGGAAACCGGTCGATGAATAAACTCAATACTACAACCCAAGTTGCTGTGTGCTGCCCATTAGTTCTCTTATAAATTATAAATTTTTTCCACACTCCGCATTTTCCACACTCCACATTTCCCACACCCTTCCTTTTCCACACTCATCATTTTCCACACTCCACATACTCCACACTCCTCTTTTTCCACACTCTTCATTTTCCACACTCCTCACTTTCCACACTTTCCACACTCCTCATCTTCCACACTCCTCATTTCCCTCACTCCGCAGTCCTCACTTTCCACACTCCTCACTTTCCACACTCCTCACTTTCCACACTCCTCACTTTCCACACTCCTCACTTTCCACACTCCTCACTTTCCACACTCCTCGCTTTCCACACTCTTTATTTTCCACCTAACCAAAAATTTGCCCAGTGCGTCCGGCCCCTTTTGGTGATAAATGGGCTATTATTTATTTGGACTCCCACAGTGCGACTCCTCACCGTACCCCACTGGGAAAATCGTGCTCTGTTTGCGCGCATAATACAAACATGCATATGGATCAAAGCAAGGAAACCTTTGCGTGTTTAGCGGATCAGCTGTCTGCATTTTAACACTTTCGCAGTCATGTAGAATATGATGAGGATCTCTAGTCAGGTGAGAAATATATTAGTGGCTAAACCGATCTTTAAGTACTGTTAAATAATTTTTTTTGCTCTCTTTCTTTGTACAACAGCTATTGAGGTCAAGGACAACTCAACCGTTACAGCTCGTTGAATACTTGGATTTATCTAATCTTGGACTAGGTAACGCTTCCAGAAAGTGTTGTTTGATTTGTAACGTCAATGGCAAATGATGGAATCTACTCTATCTTACAGTATCCCTGGAAAGACTCGAACTATGCCCAAAGCTTCAGACCTTGATCGTCCGTGGAAATCGAATTGAAGCTGTACCCGATTTGAGATGCTATTCGCAACTGTGGAAAATTGACCTCGCTAACAACGTGGTAAATGTTTTTTGCCCGAGGGTATCATTAAGTTGGACTTAATCTTCTTTTATGTCCTACCTATAACAAAATGATATTTTGCCTTAAAGCTATCTCATTTCGCCAGGGATTGTTGCGTGAAAAGAAGCTTAAAACTCAGAGCTTATAACAGACCACTCAAACTTAACATGGAGATATCAGACTACACTTCGTAAAATGGCACGAAACATCCTTAGACCGATCGATCGCTTGTACACTTACGCTTGAAATTTAACCCTCGAGTCATTTCACAAGTGAATGATTTCTTGCATTCATGATAGATTGCTTTAATAAGTTGTAAACATGTAGTTCATGCTCACTAAGAGTCAGTTTTAACGAGGTTGTGTTTCGCATAAACAATCTTTATTCATGAGAGTCTATTTACTTAGTGTTTTGTCTGTGGTTACCGGTAACTCGACAAACATAATGGCATTAAATTAATCTTCATGCCATGGCTCGAACTAATTGAAACTAATTGTCTTTGTCAACTCGAGTGTGACACGATTTGAATGTAAAGCTTTTATGTTATGATCAAAGTAGACTGTTGATTAATTTCAAAACAATTTACTCACTTGGCAAATTTTATACGTATACGCTTTAGGCTTTGAAATAAGACTGAATTTGCTGAAGGGGCCAGGATAGAATTTGAGAAGTCGAGCGATTGTAAATAAATCTTAGTAAATTTAATGTCGGCTGCTAAGATTAAAGTTATTGACCTTTTCAAGTTGTGCAAATTTCCATTGCAAGAAGGACCATTCAATTTTTTTATTTTTGTCAGTTGAACAGAAGAAAAGTGCCCTTGTCAACAAATTGTTAAGCAGCTGGGCAACGTGTTGAAAATGCCTTTGAATGAGAAAAAAAAGTTTAATTTTGAGATGGATTTTTCTAGGGTTCCTTAAAATAATGACAAATTCATTCTCTAAATGACATTTTTGCAAGAATGTTGATATATGTATAATATTTGATTTCTGTGATAGGTGAGAAGTTTGGAAGGTTTGTTTTCGGTTGCTGCCTTTGGAACACTGATCTTAGCTAATAATGACCTTGACTGGATTGAGTTGCAAAAAATGCGGCATGTTCATATACTTGACCTCAGTCTCCATGGAAACCACAAACTGGAGATGGATGCTTATTGTAAGTGTTTTAATGTATCCAACAGGTGAACCATTTAACCCTCAGATCCAAATAGTAATTCTCTTTACTTACTTCCATACAATTCCTTGTAAATTAGACAGGAGAATTTAATGTTTCATCAATAGGCCTGTTTGTTCTTGTAAAATGTTTGCAAGAAAACATATTGGAAGTACAGGGAGAAATCCTATGTTGAACACTTGTAAGAATTTAAGGGGTTCAGGTTGAAGTTTCTAATTTCTTGCCTGTCACTAAGAATCCTTGTGAAAGTTGTAGACATTACAAAAAGGAATAATCAAGCTCACCCACTCACATAATAGAGAGTGGTAAAAGTTAAATGTAGTTTGGACATTCATTTGTCAAATTCTATGTTCTTTCTTTGTTGCCACAGATAGGATGCATGTTATCGACATTCTTCCCCTGGTTTGGATGCTTGATGGGCGTATTATAACTTGTAAGCTTTGTATTTTAAAACTATACAACTAGTATTGTGTATATATAAACAGAATAAAAAATAATGCATGTGAATCCCAGAATTATTTACAGTAGAGCTCTATTAGTCCATTGGTCTTGATCGAGTGGTTGATGATGATGATGATGATGATGAAACTTTATTTATGTGTCTGTTAGGGATCTAGCTCCTGACTAGCGAGGTGCTAATTGGTGACACAGTATAGTTATACAATAAACATTATCTTAAAATGTGTTGTTATACTGAGCTTCTAGAGATGGCTGGAATGCTTCCAACTTTCACTCCTGCTGAGATAACAAAGAACCATAGAAGATAGTGGAATTAGTAAGAACCAAAAGAAAATTATCTAGTACAAAGTTATTTTGCTGTTCATGTATCGTGTATTTTTGATGTTGTATTTGTTTTTGTTCACAGCTGCAGAACGTGCCCAAGTGGAACAGTTCTTCAAGGATTCTGCACTTTCTGATAGACCTGTGGTAGGTAGTTGATTTTGGGAAAGTTGGTAAATGTGTGATTAACAAGTCTTTTGTCTAGAATAGGAATGGAACAGATCATGTACAATCTACCTGAATTTTCAACTTTTTCTAATAAGTAGAAAATTCTTGTTATGCTTGAATTACAATGTGACTAGACAAGTTTTCCTGATCTTATTTACTCCAGAGGCACAAGCTTCCTAAGAACCAGTTTGTTCCATCATCATTAAAAAATGTCTCAGTGACAGGTGTTTTTGGGCAAAAGGTATGTGTTATCAATAGTTAAGTTACAATAATTATTATTAAATCAAATGTTAACTGTGAATCTGATGACATCTTATTTTTTAATTTATTTGGACACTTGATAAGTAATTACCCAGTTTCAGTTGTGTGTAAACAAGCCCACTGTTTGTGCTCTTTGAAATTTTTGTGACACTCTAGAAGCCAAATAAGTACCAAACTTAAACCAGTTATGACTTGATTATCCAAATGTTGTTGTGTGTTCTCTTCCTGAAATACAGTTTATGCTTGCTTACTTATTTACACTGATTTCTTACCAGCAGGTCATCATAGTTATGTAATTCAGTTTGCTCTTATTGTGATTACTTTGGTTCTAATTTCATTTACAACTCTCACACGAAGCAAAGTGACACTATGCTGAACTGGTGGATATTATTTACAGAACATACTTGAAATTAGAATGTAACTGTGATTATACTGAAAGCTACTGATCCTGTGATTCATTAAGAAACTTAGATTAATTATCAACTGAGACTTCACCCTGTCAAGAAACTTTACATTAATGCCCCATATTTAAAAATCAATCCTCCTTTGTTGTGAAATTATACTTATCGAAGCCAAGAAAGTATTACTTAATGCCATATAAACCATGTAAGTGAACATACTCCAACTAACTTCTACTTTCAACACACTTTCATCTACTTTCAACACACTTTTACTTTCAATGTGTGCGTTCAAAAAATTTTTCAAATTTTTAGTTTTTGTTTGTCATCAACTGACGAGGTCGTAGACGAAACTAGTTTTGAAGTTTTCACAGTAGTGTGTTGAAAGTAGAAGTTAGTTGGAGTTTGTTCACTTACATGGTTTATATGAATCCTCCTTTGATAAGATGCATGCTCTTCCCAAACTCAGATGGCCATGCATGCTTAAATGCCACAAAATTTGCAAACTGAATCTCCTTAGTACTCATTCCCATGCTTTGTATATCCACAGTACCTTAAGTGCAATTTAGCAAAATTTTAGCGTTATTTCAGGATAAGTTTAGTTTATTCTTCAGACAAGGAGAGGTGATACTTAGATGTGTTACAGCTGTACATGATACATCTACATCTTATTGCTTGTTTTTTAAGTGGGCCAAAGAATGATCCTTTTCCTTGGTCTTTGTCTTGTCTGTTATAGAGAGAACACTTGATGAGAAGATTCCCTATAAAAGAAAAACTGAATGTTGGTGAGTTGTTTGAAGATATGCAAGATTCAATCATTCATGAACTTCAAGCTGTAGCTCTTTCTATCAGTTTGCACTCTACATCAGTTTTTAGGAGTAACAGAATCCTAACAGGATGGATGGGAGTTGGTGAGATGGGACCTGAAGTTCACCCTTTGAATCAGCTTATGTCAAATTTGTCAGTGATACAGAAAATTAACCATCATCTGGATATTTATTTAACAAAGTTTAGATGTTTTTAAGGTATCAGCTTCCAAGTAAGTGTGAAATTTAAGTTTAAGTTAAACCCTTAAATTCTCAGAAGTGATCATCATGTAACTTCTCCCTATAATATCCATACATTATCCAGCAAACAGGTAATGAGAATACTCAAACTTATCAGGTAGATGTTGTTATCTTGATCTAGCACCAAATTCTTGTTACTGATTTACGAGGTAATGTGTAGCAGTGAGAGGGGAGAATTATCAATCAGATTTTGGGAGGTAAAGAGCAAAGTAAAGTGTGACTGTATTTTTTTTATTTAGATCTTGATAAGCGACGACTTTTGTACCTGGCATACAGCCTCCAGCAAGAGGTGAACCTTTACGTGAAAAGCAATATGAAGTAAGTTGTGTTTACTGTAGTTTTGATAATGTTGTCTTCTGGCGTTGACATGCAATTATTTTTTATTCTGTTTTTAGGATACTTGTTGTAATCAGAATCCTTTTGACCAGTTGGTGCAAAGATCTGTTTACCTTTTTTTTTAATTTAAACATATTTATTGGGCAAAGTTTACCTAAGAGTAAAAATACTAATTGAGAGGGTTTACCTCAAAATACCATTGAATATAGAAAAAAAGTTGCAGAAAATAATCAATAGTCAAAGTGGACAGATGGTAAATACAGAATCTCTTAGATTCGGATATAAATGACTGGACTGGACTGGACATGGAAAAATTGTTATTTTGCTTCTGAGAAAGTAACTGTGAACCAGATAGAAAAACTGACACAATTTGAGCTTTAGACAGGGAAGACCATGTCTTGCTGTATTCCACTACATGTTTACCTTTGACCTTTTAACTCCCATGAATGACCAAGACAGAACTCCTCTTTATAATGTCCCTTTATTATATGGCTGTGTCTCACAAGGACTGGGAACTACCGAATTCACGAATTTGATTGGCTGAAATCAATATTGAAAGCGGTCTAGATTTTCCCATCTAGACCGGCATCTAGTCCAGTCTAGAAAAAAAAAAGGTTCAAAGAATATAAAAAATTGGCATATAAGACACAGCCCTAATAATAAACATCTTATTAACCGAGTGAGGTCGGTCTGTATGGGAGAATCTTGATCTGTGACACTGGTACCTCACTGCGTTTGGTCTGTACTGGTGACCTTGGTCAAGATTCTCCCATACAGACCTCCCGCTCGGTTAATAAGAACTAAATAATATCAAGCAAACAAGAGATGAGAATGAAAAAAATATCAATTACCATGCATGTTAAGAATTGATCCAATAAAAAAAATGTGACTTTATTTGATGAGGGTGATACATGATAGTTCTAGTAAACTGATGACCCAGTGGCCCTCATGTAAATCAAACATAGATTTTGAACAAACATAAAGTGCATGCAAATCCCCACATGTAGGAGGCAGACCAATCAGCTATTTACAAACTACAATCAAGGAGTTGAACTCAGGGTTAGGGCTACTGATAACAAATCCAGTGAGTAGAGGGTGGAGAACTTGAACCTGGCCCGCCACCCTAACCACTTGGCCACACCGCCTCCTCAAACATCAATACTAAATTATCTAAACTAAATTGTAAGAATTTTAAGGAGAATAATTTTACTGAATGATATCATCATATCTTGGGAGTGAGAGGGTAATTTAAGAACCTTATTGTAGACACTTTGAGGAAATGCTGGACATAAATACTTAGAGTTCTATGGCGAGCAGAATGCTGTATATCCTATAGTTATAGCCTAGAGTGAATTTTGTATGGTCTTATTTCAGAGGGAAGGTAAAACCATCACTGCTTATAGAAAATTTAATCAACTACAGAAATGAAGACAAAGAAAGGTGTAACATGCTGTTGCTGATGTTAGTGGTCAGTTGATTGACTGTACACAATTTCTAATTTTTTCATTCTGAGGAAATTCTAAGGAAGCTGGTGTGCCAGTTTTTGTCAGTGTAGATATTACATTATGGGTACTGCTTTAACAGTTAAAAGAGCTCCATTCCTCTAATGATATCTTAGCAGATTGATTTCCTTTTTAATTACCTTTTGTTATCTTGCTTGGGGAAATAGCAAGTCATTCTTTTAACATAGACTGGAGAGCTAATTTCTCAGTGGTGACACACCTTAGCTATTTTTACCTAGACTTGGAGAAGTGTGTTCTTCTATTACTAAATTTACACTTTTCTCTTGCTATTGCATTTCTTCATGAAAACCCTGAGTGGTGACAGTAGAGTTGTCAAGAGATGAATGCGATTAATAATTTAAATTATTTTGTGATATATTATAAAAGCATATTAAATTTATCAAAATTAATTTGTTTAACAATTTTTGAGGAACTCTGATGAATGGTATAGATTGATAATTAAATTAGTTATGAAGTAATATCAATTAAATAATATTAAGTGGATGTATTAATTATTACATTTAGGCATCTCTGGAATTTGCGATACCTTCACTGCTTGTTCAGCAAACTCTTGATATTACAAGACTTCGAAAAATAAGGTAATTACCTTAAACCAAAAGGTAATATTTAATTAATATATGATTTGAGTCTTTCTCGAGATCTGAAAACTAAATTTTCAAATGAAAAGCCTTTACAATTATAGCTAATTTATTTGTAGGCTAGTTTTGAGAATTTGGTGTCGGCTGGGTTTTTCACAATTTTGAGTTTCTCATTGGTCATAACCACTTTACATGGCATCAAAAAAAAAATTGAAGTCTAAGAGTTTACAATTGCATTTATTTAGCCTTTTTCATAGTTGTGAGAATTTGATGTTTCATCAGTTCCATGGTTTTGGTAAATTTCTGAATTCTCCTTACCTGATCACCACGACTTTTGAGTTAAAACAAGTGTAATAATCTTCATCTTAATCCCTTCAGAGCTCAAAGGGTTAAAAAAAAATTACAATCTCTGTATCTCAGGTTTTTGGTAAATATTCACCATCTGTTGTCAATTTAAATTGTTTTTCAGAAATGTTGATACCATGGATGTGTTTATGCTCCCTCGGGATGTCAGATGCAGAGTGATATCTTTGCTTCTTGGTGCTGTTAAGATTGAGCATGATCAACACATAGTAAGACAGTATAACCTTTTTGTCAATTCTTGCAAAAAAAAAAAATGTGAACTTTAAAACTTTTGTGCAGCATGAAGAGGTCTAATTATTGAACATAAATGAGTTATCAGTCTCCCATCCCAGCAAGCACCAGCGGTGACAAGAAAAGAAATCGATTTTAATTTTTTTTTTTCATTTTCAGTTCATTTTTTGATTACTCACTTTTCTCTATTTTTGTTCTCTGTCGCTAGGATGGTGGATTGTACAACAGGCTGTACCTGTGCCTTTATGATCTTGTTGCTGATCTGGTCAGACTCGCTAATGGAGACAGTATAGCTAAGTATGAATTAAATCTGGGGATTTTGGCTTAAGTATTATTTGGTAACTAAAAATGATGATCATGAAATGATGAGTTAATAATAGATTTTTTAATCATCAATAAAAGGATGTGGTGTGGTTACTTTTACTTGTAGATACCAAGCAACACGGCGAAGGCTGGATTCAAGGTAATTTTTTTAGGTTCAAATTCCCTGACAGGACTGTTGACTGAACTGTCCAAATTGTAAATATTGATATACTCATTATTAGTAATAATTATTATTAATACCATTCCTTGTTATAGGAAAGCTGGTTACAGATGCTTGTTGGCATCAGAAGTGGTTCAGCTTCTCTGTATTGTACCTGTCTTCTTTGACTTCATTGGAAAAGACCCTGGTAAATAATATTAAGATCATTATAAATTTGTCACAATTAATACTTAGTTCTTATTAACCGAGTGGGAGGTCTGTATGGGAGAATCTTGACCAAGGTCGCCAGTACAGACCAAATGCAGTGAGGTCTCTACCAGCAACCGAGGTCAAGATTCTCTCATACAGACCAACCTAGCTCGGTTAATAAGATGTTTATTATATGGCTGTCTTATATGCCAATTTTTTATATTATTTGTACCTTTTTTTTTCTAGACTGGTCTAGGTGCCGGTCTAGATGGGAAAATCTAGACTGCTTTCAATATTGGTTTCAGCCAATCAAATTTGTGAATTCAGTAGTTCCCAGTCCTTGGAGACACAGCCATATATAATAATCAGTGATATTGGAGAAACCATCTGTGAAATAACAAAGAGAACAAATCTTTCTCTTTAAGGTGTTTTGGACTTGATAATTGTAGCCACCAAAGATGAGATGATTGGTGAGAGGATTAGGTCACTGAGCTGGAAAATGCAGTCTGCGGGGGTAAGAATGCCCATAGCTTGTAATTAGGGTTTTAAGGGAGCTAGCACTCGGTTACAATACTTTTGATATTTTAAGGGAGGAACTCCTTGAAATCTTTTGTTAACAAGAGTGAAATCTCTTAATAAGATAGAGCGATTCAAAGGAGACGTGAATAGATAATAAATAAGATTTCACTAGTGAGTGAAATGACAAGCTATTCCAGGTCAGTAATCATTGTCAAAGTGCAGAGTCTGGTGGAACATTGCAACCTCAGTACAGCTGGCATCTTTTAGTTCCCAAGCAGTTTAGCAGAGGGATTTCCATAGCATTTTGAATTTTTTTTTTTCAAGTATTGTCATTGTGTTTAAATTAGGGAGGAATAAACAGAGTGTCCAGAGAAGTTGCCGAGTATCTCCTGGAACGTGTGAAACAGGCTAATGCAACTTTGTCAGGTAAGACAGTAGTTCTCATTTTATTTTAAGCACTATTTTTTGACATAAAAAGGTTGGTTTCTGTACAATTCAAAGTTCTTGCAGGAAATGTGTAAAAGGAGAAATATTCCCCAGAAAACATTTTGAGACTCCAAAAAATCATTTAACCATAAGCTCAAGAATGCTTTCCTGTGCATCTTCTAAATGTTTGGATAATTGCCAACAGATCTAGATTTAGAATGGAGTCATCTAGCAGCCTTTGTCCTAGACATCTAAATTTAAGAAATCTGTTAAAAATAAATTGTTTTTTTCTGGCAGTTTTGATGTTAAGTTTCAAAGTTTTTCTTAAATCTCAAAATGCAGTAAATTCTTTTGTTGTAATTTTTAGAAAATTTGAAGACAATCTCAAAACGTGAAAGAAGCTAATTATAACATTTACTAGACCCATGGAATATCTTTTAATTTTGTATATTTTTATTGCATATCTACCAGGAAAAAAGGGCACAGACCATGGAAGGCTTATAAAAGCTGAGCAACAAATGCGCAGTGCAGAGCCAAGTTATGTCATAAGTGTAAGTTTAAAATTTGTTTAATTCACTTTGCTTTTTTTTTTACTCTGTTAAGTTTTCTAGTTTTAAATTTCATCTTTAAATGTCACCAGCCTCTTTGTCTCTTATTTAACCCTTTTACTCACAAAGTGATAAACATTTTCAGTACAAAAAGGAGATAAGAGTAGATGAATCAGTCAGCTACATATATCTTATTAACCAAGTGCAAGGGCCACACTGGAAGAATATCGGCCTGAGGTCTTGACAGTACGGACCTTGCTGCACTCGGTCCGTACAAAAAACACCGAGGGCAGATACTCTTCCAGTTCGGTCCCGATCAAGCTTGGTTAATAAGAGATTTATTATACGACTGAAGTTCAAAGGGACACAAGTGCGGTATCATTCGGGACCATTCGGGACAGTGAATAAAGGCTGATACTTTCGAAAGAAACTGTTTGGGGCTGCGTCGGTCAGAGTAACAAAATAATTTGGATATATCAACAAACTTAAGTTGAAATGGTAAATTGGCCACCATAATGATACAAAAGCTGACATTTCGAGCGTTAGCCCTTTGTCGGAGCGAAACAGTGGGACAGTGCCCGGTCCAATACTGAGAGAATATTGACCAGCAATAGAGCATTTTGATTGGTTGATTTTAGTTATTGGCCCTCTGACTGCCTGAGTCATGTAATAAAGGGTGTTATCTTCAACCTGTTATGGTCTCCACTTACTACTGAAATTCTAAAACTACTGGTATTCAAAAGTTCAAAGTTAGAGGGCTTTCAGGGCATGACACTAACTTTTCAACTTACTAGCCAAGTTGTTAGTGACAACTTAGATGTTGCAACAATTTCAGTTTGGTTTTTAAAAGCCAAACTAGCTAGCTAGTGGAAATAATGGAAAACCACAAGCCGAAACTGAATTTCTACTAGGTAATTTGGTTTTATCAACTAAGTTGAAATTCATATGATGCACGATCCTTCGCAGTAGATAGCGCTATTTATGCAATAGCGAAAATCAGACCTGAAAAAAATCAGGCCTGTTCGGGATTCAAACCACTGACCTCTGCGATACTAGTGGAGCACTCTACCAATTGAGTTAACAAGCCAACTGGGAGCAGGCCGTTAAGTTGATTCGTAATAAACCCGTGATGATAAATCAGATACAATGAGTATATGAAGTTCATATATTTTCAACTGCGGTATTAAATACGTATGATGCACGATCCTTTGCAGTAGATAGCGCTATTTATGCGCTATTTATTTTATCCCAGTTGGCTTGTTAGCTCAATTGGTAGAGCACTGCACTAGTATCGCAGAGGTCAGTGGTTCGAATCCCGTACAGGCCTGATTTTCGCTATTGCATAAATAGCGCTATCTACTGCGAAGGATCGTGCATCATACGTATTTAATACCGCAGTTCAAAATATATGAACTTCATATATTCATTGTATCTAAGTTGAAATTGTAAATTGGCCACCGTAAAGAGTTAAAAAGCTGATGTCTTGCGTGTTAGCCCTTCGTCAAACCAAGACCAAAGTAATCACACAAAAGGAAAATACCTCTTAGAGCCAATGAGAACTCAAAGTAAAACTGACCAAGCTGCTTAAGTGCAGGAAATTGTGGTCAACCAAGTCAAGATTGGTTTTAATTTTGTATATGATTGTTGGAGAGAGTGGTGTAAGTTTCCTGGATGTCAATTACAGATCAAAGTAAAGTTAAAACAAAGCAATCTCATATAACTTTTGACAGTCTTAACTGGAAATTGCTCTGACGGACTAACACTAGCTCATTTTAATTAGTGATTTCCATGTTTTGTTTTTCAGTCAAAACGGCTTTTGAAGACAAGCCATGAGAGACCTCAGTCTTGTATAGGATTAATCTGGTCAAAACTAGAGAGGTTGGTTTTGTTGTATAATTTGACATTTTATCTCAGAAGGGCTCTCGTTTTTCATTGTCCTCAGCGCCTGCATGGTGAAGGTGGGAAATACCCTTATGAAAAGTGTGTAACAATCTGGACATCAGAACTTTTCAATTAAATTTTTTTATGATAAAGATCTTGCTGTAGGAGAAGGTTAATGTAACCCTTGCCGAAAGGTGCCACCCCAAGTTTTCTATTGTTTAAGGCAAAACTTGAAAATTATGATCAAGTTCCCTCCACAAGAAAGAATTAGAGGCTCTGTAACTCAGTAGTCAGTAGCATTTAACTATCTGGAAGTTAAGGCATGTGTTTGAATCCCATTTAAGCCTACAGTGAGTTTTTTCAGGCCTCTTTTCTGCAATTGCTTTATATCAAGTTTCAGGTCATCTGCAAGGGTCATTTCTTTACTCCATTTTCATATACAGGTCAAATTATTTGTTTAAATTTGTTTATAAAATTATGAATAGCTTTGACTTAATGTGAAAATGTGTGATGTGTTTTTTCTTTAAGGTACAACATGCCCAGTGGGTCAAAAAACAGAGCCATGTCTGCTGTTGGTGTTAAAACAAGCCAAAAGGCAGGTTTAATGAGAAAAAGGATCAAGTCAGCTGGGAGAAAACCTGGTAAAATGCCAACAATACTTTAATTCTCTTTCCATTTTAGTTGTTGACTAAGACAACTGCAAGTAGACATGATAAAAAAGTGGGATTGACTTGTATCTTAAAAGATGAATCTTTCCTCATAAAAGAATTGCAAAACAACTTAGTTTTTAAGACTTTGCTTTGTTAACAGGGGCTAGTTGAGATCTTGTGGTCTGCGTTAAAGTTTGTTTACCAAACACCCACTGAACTAGCCCACTGTTGATCAGTCTGTAATTTTTCATGGCATCTTGAAAATTCTGGTCACTGGAAAATAAGTTTAATCTTGTCAAAAATGAGAAGCCAACAGGTATTTTTTTAGTTAAGATTTTTAAATTTTTGGAAGTGAGATAATTGGAAGCTAACATAATTTTTACAGCTGTTACTAATAAAAGTAGCTTGATTCTGGCATTTTGATTTCTGAGCCAAACCCTCAACAACCATTATTCTGCTGAGGGCATTGGATATGAATCATAACCTTGAGACAGGAAAGTGACAATTATCAGGTGCCAGACTGTTGAACCATAGAATTTTACTGGTACTGATTTTTTTTTTCATTGAAAATAGGCAAGTAGCTAATTGTGAACCCCTTTTTATTGTAGTACTTGGTGACAGGGTAGAGGTTGGCCATCAGGTACACAGTCTTCAACTAATTTGTTTTAGAGCTATCTCTCCATTTTATTTGTTGGAAAAACATTCTGCTCTATTCTTTTCTAAAGAATGCACATGAACATAACTGTACCATAATGATTCATGCAAAGCTAATGCATGATTTCAAAACTCTTCTTGTCTGATTTCATTTGTTCAAAAATGTCCTCAGAGAAAAGATGAAACAGGGCTGTGCTCTAGTAGCACTTGGTGGCCCCTGGCACCTTACTTTTGCTCTTGGATGACTCAGGAATCTTAGTTTTTTTCATAAAAAGCATATGCTGGGCACCCTGGATTTCATAGTTTCATAGCACTCAGGGCTCCCTTCAAGTTTTCTTAGAGCACAGCCTTGGGTGAAAGTTGCCTGATAGACTCTTTGACCAGTCAATTTTGAAACATATAGCTGTTTACTTTTCCTAGGCATATGGGCGCCTTGTAGCTATTCCAGAGTCAGACATGGGCTTGGTTCAGTTGGAGACTATAGCAGGTACATATTATTCTGGAAAATATATCTGGGGCTGATTATTTAGTATTTGAATTATTTAGTGGATAAGTTAAGAATAAAAAATATTTCCTCAGCTCCCAAGTTCCAGCAGGCAGACTATCCTATCAGTTATCTGGATCAGCAGTTCCTGTATGTGGGCTTTGCTGATATCAACTGGGATTGTGCATCAGAGACATGGAGACAGTCTTATTCAAAGTGAGTATTTATTTAAAGTGGCAAATTATGGCAAAGTCTGAGAGTCCACTAAGAAATATGTCACCTTTCGGTGTTGAAAACTGGTGAATTATGAATAACTCACCAACCAGATTTTTACACAAAAGTTCTAGTCTCTGAGACTCAGAAAAGCAGAAGTTCTTTGATAAGATCCTGACAAGTCAATTGGGTAATAACCAGTCACAATTATTTTGGCTAAGTGGTGATGACCGGCTGGACTTTTGGCAGGTCATCGTGTAATTGTGCTCATCAGGCTTCTGAGGTTAGGCACTTACAATCCTTCACCATCTTTGAGCCAACTTACTAGAAATTTCAGGCCACATACAGCTTGATTTCTTAGCTACAATCTTGATGTACACTTGCAGTACACATAGTCATGTAATCTTTTTCATTTGCTTAAATTAGGCACTTTCATGCCAGAATAAATGGTTACATTGCAATAACAATGGAAAGGAGGGTGGTCGTGTAGATTAAGGAGCATAACAGGTTTCTTTATTTGCTGCTTATAGCAAATTTTGAATTAGTCAGACTCTAAACTTGATTTCCTTTATATTCAGAGGTTTCATGGAAAGTGTTGGTCGAAAAGGTTAGCATGAAAGTTTGTTTAGTGCATAAATTCACTGAGTCACACAGTTAACATAAACGCCTGCTGAAGGGAAGCAATCGCATCGTGAATTTCTATCAGTTATTAACAGGAACTGTAATTTATCTCATCAAATGATACTTAATAAACTTGATCTGATTTGTGTTAGGATCAAGAGGAACAACACTTGAAGGATGTCACAACAGGGTATGGCTCACTTAATGTTTTGTATAATTTTACTTGTAGAGAGAGACAGTAGATATTTTGTTATTAATAACTGACTTTAAAATTCAATAGCTTGTTAATTGATAAATAAAATCCATTGTCACCCAGAGTGATTTACAGATTGAATAATGGATTTGCTGAGCGACTGACTGATTGGTAGATTGATTGAGCATTTGGTTGAGATATGGATTGATATCAATTAATGATTGTGGCTCCTTTTCTGTGCTTTGGAGAACAGATCACTTCTAACAATGCTTAAATTTGTGATAACATTGATGAGATTAATTATTAAAATGTTTTTCTTTAGGAAGAAGTTGCACAATTTCTATCAGATGCTATCAGACAGAATCTCCAACTCAGAGTTGATCTATCAGCGGCTCACAATACTGATACTATATCAGACATTGGCGAACCTGTAGCAACAGGTGAGTGAGACAAATTAAACAGTGTGTTAGGTTTATCTAGTAACTTAAGGTAATAGCTGAAGGTGGTATACAAGTATAAGAAGCTAGACACAAAGTCTAATATTGTGGATGTTACCAATGGTAACAAAAGACTGAGAAAGTTTTTACTTTTGTTTTTTTTTTTTAGGAGAGACTGTAATCACAGATCATGTGAGATCAATTGTAAGAGAGTGCTTGCAAGAAGCAGATGTAAAGTGGACAAGCTCTTATCAACCTGATATTAATGACAATCATATGTATGATACAACAGGAAATGATGAGCAGCCTTTGGAGGAGAATGCTGACAACTTGGTATTTATTAAATGAATATCTAACATGGAAAAATCTTTAACGTGTATGAAAGACAAAGCACCGCCTCTAATGATAATGATTTTGCAGCTGTTGTTTTTCTTAGATCCTAAACATCTCTAACGTCTTACTTTCTGGAAATTGTTTATTGAATGTGTCAGAGGGGGCAAAGTTTTCCAGAAAAGTGTAACAACCAGAACTTCATCCACTCAGGCAGTCAAAATGTCAATCACTATTAATATCTACGGCAAATGACAAGTGTCCTTGCAAGACTACTCCCTCAAGCATGATCAGAGTACACTGTTACGTCTAGATGTAAACTATAAACTGTTTTTTCTGGAAATGAGGCAGCAATCCTTAATGTGGACTTGTGTTGGTGCACCATTTAGATTTTACTCTCAGGAAGCCAAGAGTCTGTAGATCAGTATCCCTTGCCATTTTTTGAAAGCTCAAAAGGGATTTGAGCTTGCAAAATGCACAGGCACGCAAAGAAAAAGAATTTTAATTCTAGCTAATTGTTGCATTTTGTTAGTCCATCCCTGTTGTTGCGTCAGAGGTGACGGCTCATGCTGATTCAGAATCTAACAAAGGTAAAGTTTGCAGCAAGAAAATATGTTAACTTAATGTTAAGGTAATCTGCTTAATTGAAACTCAGTTACCAAGTTGAACCAAATAATTATTTCAAATTGGATGCATATTAACTCTTCTTGCAATATCTCTGACTGTGAAACAGATTTTCTTACTTTCTACATGTCAAGGTTACTTACCATTTTAACTGTTATTCCTTGACAGCAGTGAGATTTGAGGAAAGTAACATTTTGATACCCAATACCACTCACAAAGACAATTGTAATCCTCCGAGACAATGAAATACCATGATGTGAATTGCACTCTGTTAAGCTTAGCTTTCACTCCAAAGATCTCATTAGCAATTCTCCCTACTGTCTGTCATGTTCCTTTGGAGAATTTGGTATCTGATCAACTAATAATTCCCTATAATTTGAGTATATCAACAAAGTTGAAATGGTAAATTGGCCACCGTTACGGTTATAAAAGCTGACGTTTCGAGCGCTAGCCCTTCGTCGGAGCAAAGCCTTTAATAATTCCCAAGTTGATCTTTTTTAATTCTGATCACTTGTCTTGATATTGTATCGGCATTGTTAAGAGAAATTCTGTTTTGGTCACTCATGGGAGTCAAAGACTTAAAAAAGAAGAAACATTTAACATGAACGGTCTCAGTTTGCATCAACGACAAACAATTTTATTCAAACAAGTTTGTGTTTGTTTATTAATTCCAGCATTAAAAAAATGATTACTGAACTAACTATGCCAAACATTCATGCTTTAGTGGATTACCTTCTTCTCAACAGATTGTGAAGTGTTAGATGACAATACTGAGGTGAACAGGTAAGTAGGAAATTAAAACCTGCAGAGTATTGCATCAACCCACCTACTCCAGTACTTCCAGCTCACAAACTAACACCTACAGTGGGTTGCCTGTTATTTTCATAAGTACACCTACAAAGAAAAGTGCAAAAGTATTTAGAGTAACTCTTTCATGGCAGGGGTGACACTATGGCATAACTTGTGTATCGGACTCTGGGTCCAGAGGTAATGTTTCAAGACCTGGCCAGGTCATTGCGTAGTGTTTTGGGCAAGACACCTTTAAATTACTCTCACATTACCACGGTTTTTCTCCACACAGGAGCATATTAGATGTCTTATTGTGTAGTATAGCTGAGTATTTTTATCAGTTGTGCTGTATTTTGACAAGCCCGTAGGGTGAGTCAAATTACAAATAACAGGTAAGAATACTCAGCAATACAACACACCAAAACATCTAATAAGTTATTTACTATCCAACATGCATGCCAAATTGTTATTTCAGTGCAAGCAAAGTTTGTGGATATTTATTTACAGGGAGGGTGACAGTTCTAGAAGCATGCGAAGCAGTACAGAATTGGCACGTTGTCATGTTGCTGTTTCTATTTTCTTTAATAACTGATGAAATTTCATTTTTGTCTAACTGCTTTTCTTCGTTCAATTTATCTAATAAATTTGGATCAATATCTGCTAGCCATTCTGACTCTTTGTCATCAGAAAAATGAATTAAATCGTCTGCCATTTTTTTTTGTAACTTCAATCCAACTTGTTGCTTGTGTGATGCAAGAAAACTTGTCTAAATTGCATCTTTAGAGTACAAATACTGCATGATATTTGTACTCATCTTAGGTGTTTTTTATACTCTATGGAATGTAGTTGGGTAATAAAGATGGCTACTAGCAAATTGTCGGGGAAGCTTGATGAAATACAAGGGGCAGACTTGCGATGGACTGGCATCCCATGCATGGCCATGGCCATCCAGGAGGGGATAATTATACTCCTAGTTGCTTTATGCTATGAAAACCAGATCTGATGTGTTTCTATTGTTCTTTAGAAGAGAAAGTGAAGAAAATTTACTCCTAATGAAGGATGAATGCCATGGCATTGCTTTAGATGATCTTGGCTCAGAAAGTGCACAGTACTTTCCTGTCAGTTCCAAAGAAATAGAGGAAATGGTCTCTTACGCAAGCTCAGAAAGTGCACAGTACTTTCCTGTCGTTTCCAGAGGATCAGAGGAAATGATCTCTCACACAGAACATGCCAGAATAAATGCATGGAAGACACCTGAAGTAATCAAAAAGGCTACTGAGAAAGGAGTACCTTCTAGGGTGGGGGGTGCTACAACAAAGTTGAATTCCAGTTCAGCAGCCTACCCTCCCCCACAGCGACCCTCGTCTCCGACCCAACTAAAAGCCATTCCAATTAAACAGGCAGACAGATGGTTAGCAGGGGGTCGGGATGTTAGCTGCACCTCTGCCAAACATATATCTGTTCCTCCACCAGGTTGGATGGAAGGGTTGGAAGAAAGAAGACCCCAAGTCTTCTCCAGCTATGAGAGGTCCTTTAAGTCACATTCATACAGTCGTATTATTGATATGAAAAATTCTATCAGCGTGAGAGTCAAGCAACTTATTCTTGTAATCATTCTCAATTTAGTAAGCATTTCTTTCTGAATCAGTACTTTCATTGGTTCATCAGTGAGTTGTCTAATAACTTTGATTAATCTTTCTTCTCTCTGATCTTTTTTTCGATCCATAGCTCAAACATTCTGAATTTCAGAAATCTCTTTAAAAGCTCAAAGCAGAAGCTAATGACCCAGAACATAGGTCCTAAACTTCTGCTCAAAGTCATGCATTGGAAAATTATTTTTGTGCAAATTTTATCAATGTTTTGAAAAAATATTATTTTTATCTAGGGCCAAACTTCTGGGGATATAATATCAACTGTTACCATGAACATCACTTTCTCTTTAATCTGTTGGACTAGAAAAACTTAAGCCCAGACTTTTACAATGGCTTGTATCTTAATCTGTTTCTTATTTAAGAGTTTCTGTGAAGTGTCATTAGGAATTTTCATGATTGTAGAGTATTTGACTTAAAAATTGTAGTAAATAGTTTTTATAGAATGTGTTTATATTGTTCTAGTAGGCAAACCCCAAGTTCAGCTACCTTCTGGACAACACTCTCTGGACCAACAACAGGTACTGAATAACTTAACACAATTTCAGCTGAATTTGAGGTGTAGAACCCTTTAATCTCAGAAGTAACCCTGGTTTGTTAAATGGTTGTTTCAATATAAGGCTGTTGTCTACCAATCTGAGGCTTATATTTATTTAGTAATCAAATAAGTGATGTCGAAAATAAACAATGTCAATTTTATCAGAAAACTGGGAAGTGGCTTTCATTTTCAATACCAGGCCTACTCAATATAGGTGCACTATAATTGGTCAGTTAAGCTGGTGGTATTTCATGGTATCCACTGGCTCATAAAATTTACAACTTCGTTTGAACTGAAATCTTTCCTCTCTGTTTGAACCCTGAGATACAATAAATATCAGGCTGACCCTGTATGCCCTAACATCAGCATCTAATTTCTCCATACTCTTCTCTACACATTTCCTTGATAATGACAAGGAGAATTTGTTGAACAATCTAGATTTCTTAAGTTGGTGACCATTTCCTTATTTCTTGTTATTGTAATGACTGATTCAGCAGTATTAACGTAGAGAGAAAGTACATGCTGGTCACCCTTAGGGTTTGATCCTTCCAGCCCCTTGAGTGACCAAGACAGAATTTCTCCTTACAATAGCAATACAATATCAAGCAGACAAGTGAAGAGAATTAAGAAAAATATCAATAAGGGGATAACTAGTTGATCCAATACCAAATCCTCAGAACTAATACTGTAAGAATTGTTTGGCAGACAGTAAGGAGAAGATCTCAGTAGTTAAAGGGTTCATTAACTGCTAACTTTGGTTTCTCTGTCAGTACTGTAAGTTATGTAACCTCTTTTTTTTTTTTTTTTTCCACTTCTGACTTGGGGCCATAAATGTGATCAGAAAAAAACTTGGTCGGCTCTGTAACTTATGGTGTAGACTTCAAACTTGGTTCTAAAGAGCTTTTAAGAAGCTAAAAAAAAATTATTTTCTATTACAGGGCGACCTTTGGGAAGAAGTGGACAGTTCTTAATGAGAGGATCTTCAGCTTCTCGTAGACAGTATCAGTTTCAACCTACTCGTGTATGTTAAAATTAAAGTTTAACCTTCTTAAAAATGGATATTCATTGCTGTGCCTTTTGACCTGCTTCTACTTGTTTTGAATTTTTAACATAATGCAATAGTATTAAATGAATTTGACTTTGGCAGACAATTCAAAGTGAAAAGGTTGTGTCACATTAGGCCATCTCCATAGTTCCAACATTGGCATAAGAATTTAAGGAGTTGGCAGTTGCATTTTAGACTTATCTGACTAGTGATCAACTATTACTAGATTCTTGCAGGACAAGACATCTGGCCACTGTAAAGTTAAAGCAATGCTGTAGTTTTTGCTTGTTTTGCATGTTAGTGGAAGTTGATTTTAGGTAATTTATTAAGTTATATTTCAGTGTAATCATGCAGTCAGACTTCAAACCTTCCTGACATTATCATTTTAACAATAACTGTTAGAAATTTCCACATGCCCATTGGGCGAGAGCTGTCCTTTATTGATCATAAAAATGACATAACATGCAACATAACTTATTTCTATGACCAAGGTTATAGCCAATGGAAAATTGTGGTTGATATGTTAAATTGACAAAATGTTTGATTGTAGGAACATCTTACTAAAAAATACGATTTCTAATATGTAACTTTGTCTTCTCCCATACAGGTTTTTATACAAAGGAGATGATGAAAGGTTACAGTCATTTGACCATGTCTACGTCTGCTTACACCTCATTACATTTCCATTGATATCATTTAGATTTTTTTTCAAACAATATACCTTACATGTTGGGGGGAAGGGACAATGTAAGATTGTTTGCGACACTAGTTTTGTCTGTTTTCCATCCTTACCTTTATTGCCTTTGTCATGATGAACAAAAAAATTACTTGTACGCCACTGCATCTAAATGATAATGCACATAAATAGCATATTGAGGCTTTTGTACAAAATTTTTAGGAGGTCCATATTTTTTCTTGTCCCACACTATTTAAATCCACTTTACAGAAAACCTTGACTTCTCTTAAGCTTTGTGGAGTGTCAAGGTTTTTGCAAAGTGCTGTTTCAATAAGAAAAAAAATGTACTTTTGTTGTTTATACTGTTAGTGTTTGCTCATATTATCTGCAACAGATTTTCAATATAACTGCCCTATTATTTCCTATATAGTATGATCTAACATGATATAATGCTGTTGTAGGACATTCCTCTCTGTTGGTTTGTGTAACTATTTAATTTTTGGTTTTTATTTAAAATCTGGTTTAAGTGTGCCAATAGATGGTTATATTTAACAATTATTCGCCGAAGGCGAGGTGAATATCCTTAGTCTCAGGGATTGTTCAACGATATTCACCAAACCTGAGGCAAATAATTGTTTTAGTATAATTTCAGAACTGAACAACAGAGAAATTTCTAAAATCATAACATTTATTAACATTTTATTTTAACATTTTATATAAACCGCGTGGAGTGGTTTATATAGCGTCATATAAGGAACCACTCGACCAATCAGATTGCTAGAAACTATTTGCTCAGCTCTGAAATTATACTAATTAACCATAGAAAGAAGGATATTTTTTTAATAGTTGAAAAGGCTTAGTAAGAGAAATATTCTGTAGACAGGGTGATATGATAAATGGATATTTGTAATTAATTTAATAGATGCAGCCAGTCTGTATGTTGTTGTGGTGATAATAAATGTAAGTATTATTTTTTGGAAATGAGGAACTTTGATTTCTTTGACACTACCTTATAAAAAGTATTTGAATACTCAAACAATGCTATTCCATTATGCAAAATGCTTTATTTTCATTGATTATCTATACTCTAGTGCCCTCACTGCCATAGTCAGGTTGACCAAATATTTGCAAATTACGGTAACTGCCTAAGTGTGGTGGAGTTATACTCAACTATTTAAATCCCTTCGCCCCGACGAAGGGCTAATGCTCGAAACGTCAGCTTTTGTAATCATTACGGTGGCCAATTTACCATTTCAACTTTGTTGATATATCCAAATTATTTCATTACCCCCACCGACGCCGCCCCAAACAGTTTCTTTCAAAACTATCAGCCTTTATTTAAATCCCTGAGGTGGAAAACATGTGACTTCTCCAAACAATATCTAGTAATAGATCGTTCAGCAAGCAGGCAATGAGAATTAACAAACTTATCAACTGAATACATTACACTGATACAGCACTAAATTTTCTCGATAGATTTTCAAAGAAATGTAAAACAACTAGAATGGAGAATTAGAAATCAGACATAGAGAGTTAACTGGGTGTTGATCCCTGAAAGTGACCAGCATCTAATCTTTCCTTACCATATCACCTCTGAATCACACATTAGGGTCACAAGAAAAAAGGAAATGATCACCAACTAAAGGAGCTCTTGATTGTCACACAAATTCTCCTTTTTGGGAAACAATATGGAGAACTTGCATACTGATGTTAGGGTGAAAGGGTATGAAGAAAGGAACAGTTGGGATTAAAATGGGATCACAAATGCAGGGAGAGTGTTGCAGGAATAAAAAATATAATTTTACTATGCTGACTATTTTTCAACAAAGACCATGGTGTCTATTTTTCATTTTGACAGTTAGTCATGGAAGACTAAATATGAACTGAGTCCAAAGTATTTTGCTCTAGTTTTATGTTCTCATTACTGGTCACTCTCAAATCTTGGTAGAACAGGCAAGATGAGGTTCCCATGGGCGGAGTCTTGAGATATGAAATATCCAGATGACGTTGAATTTGCATGCTGGAAGAAAGGAAAGAAAGCTTGGTTTTGTCAAAATGCAGGGTCTGGAGATGAAACTTTATCTGGAAACCACCATCAATAAATGAATGTCTCACTCAGGACCTAGTGGATCTCAGTAAGAGTTGCTCAAAATCCTAGTAATAAGAGATTCGATTCACATTATCCTTTGAGAATGACTTTTTTGTCACAAAAGTTGTTTACCAACCTCAAGAGCCTGTCGCTGACCCAATGACATGTCAGCTGGGTTTCGGATGACCTGTAAACAAAACAGAATATAACTCAGTTGTTTTACATTTCAAAATTAAGTAATGCCTTTGGATACTGGTTTGGACTCAAGTGCTCCACTGAATGAGCATAGTATCCACATAAGAAAATGTAAGGAAGTTAAAAACAAAAATATTCAAATGAGAAAATCTATCCAAACTTTAAGGTAGATGATTGGGCCTGGTTGTTGACATGATTTGAAGGAGGGGTGTACCCAACATGTACGAAGAGTGCCCCCGAATTGTTTAAAATCTCTATCTTTAAAAGGAGGAAAAACAATTGTTAACACTTAATTAACCTTTTCAATCCTAAGATTTCATGAATGATTCTCCTCACTCTCTGCAAATTCTTATCATGTTTGTTCTGAGAATTTTTTCTGGGATCAACTAATCATCCCCTTCATTGCCATCCATTTCTTTCCTTGATATTGTACTGATCGGAGTTAAAGGGCAAAGACACTTAATTGACCCTTTTCATTTCCAGGATCTAAATATAAACTCTCCTCTCAGTTTTCAAAATTATTTCCTACAAGTGTATACCTCTCAGAATTTGATGTTTGATCAAACAATATCCCCTTGTTGATATTCTTCTTTCTTCTCATTCCCTTTATGGTTGATGAGATATTGATATTGTATAGAGAAATAAATCATTGTTCATCCACAAGGGTGGATGCATTAACTGAGTACTTACTGGGGTGTCATGCAGTTTTACAACTGGAACGGTAGAAGCATCTGGTCCTATTGAGCGGTTTGTGGGCAGATTTGTCCTGGAATTGAAAGAGAAATACTGAAACCAGTTTTACTATGAGACACTGAGTCTATCACAAGGAAGCCTGTCTTTTAAGTCTTCTAGCATTTGGCCACATGTGATTGAAATTATCACTTCTCAAGAAAAAAAAAAAAAACAGCAAAGTGTACAAAAGATTGAATGACAACAATTTTTAAGGCTAGACCCCCTGACATCAGTATGCATATTCTCCATACTGTTCTCTATACATTTCCAGTGCTTTCAATAAGATCCAGCACCCACCGGAGCTCCTGCAGGTATTCTGTTGTGAGTCACCAGGTATAGTTCACCGTGCTCAAGTCACGGTCACCACGCTTAAGTCACACTCAAGTCGCTCTCTGGCGGGTGCTGTACCGAGGTAGCCACCTATTTCAAATCTTATTGAAAGCACTGCATTTCCTAAGGTGCTGGCAAGGACAATCTATCCTCAATGTGTTGATCCGTCATCATATTGATGTGTTGGTTGATCAATACTTGATCAATCATAGACCAGCAGTTTAGTGATAAACCTGTGGGTAACTGAAACTTGACATTTGCTTTGCTTATCCATCAATGTGGTGCCAATAGACATATAGCTAATGGACATAAGCAACAATTATTGGCCCAATATTGCTAAGGACAGAATCTATTTTTCCTCAGGCAAACGTTTACCATCACTTATCCGACAACATTTCCAATATCTAAATTTTGGATCTTTCATTACTGAAAATGAAACACTGAAGAGCCCTTCAGACATAAGACGACATTGCAGAAGTTCAGCGAAGCAATTTGCATTTTATCTTTCCTACCTGAGGCTATCATAACTTTAAAATTTTAACAAAGAGAGATACTTCTAGATAAAAAAATATATAAATTTTTTGCAAGTACACTCACCCCATTCCACCTTGCCCTTGATTCAAAAGCATCTGTCTTTTTTGCTGAAGATCCTGAAGAATCTGCCGATTTTGTGATTCTGCCATTACGGAACGCGAAAGATCGAAGCGAGATTTACTTTCACACGAAACAAGTGAATCTAATAAAGATGTAATTTTTTTTCTTAGAATCTGAAGCTTTTCTTAAAAATAATACTTAATCCTTCGATTCTTTAATCTAACAATTCTTAATTTTGACGTCTATTTTCCTGAATAACTGCCTTTGCAAAAATCAATAATTATTTATCGATTCGCCAAATAATGAAAGGCAACTTGGGTACTTATCGATAAATTATGCAACAACCACGACCGCGAGTTTTGAAACGAAGAATAAGTACCGAGAAGTTTTCTGATATTAATATTCCAAACACTTGCCAAATCCGCTCATTGGTTGCCGCTTTACTACGGACAGGAATACTTACCTTGTCCTCCTAGGGGTTGGAACGCCATTATAGGCTATCAAGGTTCCTCTGAATATAAATCTTAACCAAAAGATCGACATTCAAGGAAAATCGATCATCATTTGGTCCGCCATTTTGTTTTACAACTCGAACCAGCTTCCCGCGTTTCTTTCGCGTGATGAACATGTGCAAATTACTTCGAACACAACCGGCGCGGTGTTCCCGTGTGGGTCACACGATGCACTCTTAGCTCAGCTTATTTGCTTGCTTTGAGAGGATTTGTTTGGGTAGCTTTGTGTTTTTCGGTGGCTTCAGTGATTTTGTTTCTCTGGCCCTAACTTTCGCCGCGAGGAATGTTAAGTGCAATGGAGCTGTGCTCTTTATTACTAGTAGTTCAGCTGATATCCAGCGTCCATGCAGGTAAAAAACGATGAAGTATCGTAAATGCAGCTTTGACTATCTTCTTGTGGGAATTAGAGCATCTCAAACCTCCGCTTCATTGAGAGTGATCGAAGGGGTTTGCATATTTGTAGCGCATGATGAATTTGTCCAAAGGCCTTCCTAAACCTTTAGGCAACTGTTATTGGAGAGATTTCCCCAAGAGATTGGCGCCAAGTCATGATGCTGTGTTCTTAAACAAGACACTTTACTCTCACAGTACTCTCCCGACCTCCCAGAAGTGTAAATGCATAAGGCCAAAGTGTTAGGAAACCTTTACAAAATTATTCGGTGAGAGGGGCAGAGGGAGGGGGTGGGAAAGAACCTTGAGTGGACTGGCATCCCATCTAAGGGGAGTACCTACACTCTTGGTTGCTTCGTGGCACAGAAATAAGGATATGCTATATTCCCAACCCTTTACACCCTAACATCAGTATGCATATTCTCCATACTGTTCTCTATACATTTCCTAAGAAGCTGATAAAGAGAATTTTTTTGATAATCAAGAGCTTTTTTAGTTGGTGATTATTTTCTTTATTCTCATGACCTTAATGCTTGATTAATTATATCTTATTAACCAAGTGCAAGGGCTGTGCTGGGAGAATATCGGCCTGAGGTCCGTACAAAAAAGACCGAGGGCCGATATTCTTCCAGTACGGTCCCGAGCAAGCTTAGCTAATAAGAGATTTATTATAGGACTGAAGTTCAAAGGGACACAAGTGTGGTATCATTTGGGACCATTCGGGACAATGCGTGGTCCAATACCTAGAGAATATTGGACTGGCAATAGAGCATTTTGATTGGTTGATTTTAGTTATTGGCCGTCTTACTGCCCGAGTGGTGTAATAAGGCATGATATTGTAAGGAAGTTTGATGTTAATCACTCGAAGAGGCTACAGAGTGAATACAGGGCTTGACACTAACAGTTGCCAACTAGCCACAGACTAGAAGAAATTCAGGTTTGGCTACTGGTTTTCAATTTTCATTACCCAGTTTGGCCTGTAAACAAACTGAAATTGTCATATCATCTAATATGTCCCTGCCCACTTGGCTTGTAAGTTGAAAAGTTAGTGTCGAGCTCTGTAATAACTGAAATTGACTTTGTTATCTTGTTCAAGAACTCCTCACTCAGCAAGTAGTTGTGATATCACGTCATGGAAGTCGTACACTTCTCGCCAAAGATCACAGCACCTTTGAGGAAGGAAGTGACAGTCAGCTGACCGTAAGAGGGATGGATCAAATGTTCCAAGCTGGAGAATTTGTTAGAAAACATTACCAAAAACCTGGCTTCTTGTCTGATGTGTATTCTCCCCAAGATGTTTATGTGAGGTCCAGTGACTATTCTAGAACACTTAACAGGTACATTGTCTAAACGAAGACAGTTTCTTAACCCTATTACTGCCAGCCATTTTTTCAGCCTAATGTAGAGCAAATTTAGTGCTTGATGGGAAAAATATGTTTTGTCAGTTAGTTCTTTGTCTGATGCCAGGTGTACTAGTCTTTACCAGACCCTCATCAGTCTAATTGTTTGGGGTTTGATTGTTTTTACAAAGTGTGGAAGTACTCTTACTAGTTCTATGTTTTTTTTAAGATGTACTCAGTAGATCCTTATAGCATATGAGTAATCTGATACAGGACGTACCAAGTACATCCTTGTAGCGGTAAAGAGGTTAATGATTGTTGGTTATTGTAATACAGCATTTCTTGAAGTCAAAGACTGGATGTGGTAGTGTCCAAGGACAAAGTATTATAGTAGTTGCAAACTGTGTCCTTCTCCACTTCAGAGGAACAAATGAGTACCGGCAAACTGCGTGAGAAAGCTGATGAAATCCAGGAGGGAGGGTAACCTGTAATGCACTACCATCCCATATCGGTTGGAGATGTGTTGATCCGTCATCATATTGATGTGTTGGTTGATCAATACTTGATCAATCATAGACCAGCAGTTAAGTGATAAACCCGTGGGTAACTGAAACTTGACATTTGGTTTGCTTATCCATCAATGTGGTGCCAATAGACATATAGCTAATGGACATAAGCAACAATTATTGGCCCAATACTGCTAAGGACAGAATCTATTTTTCATCAGGCAAACGTTTACCATCACTTATCCGACAACATTTCAAATATCTAAATTTTGGATCTTTCATTACTAAAAATGAAACACTGAAGAGCCCTTGAGACATAAGACGACATTGCAGAAGTTCAGCAAAGCAATTTGCATTTTATCTTTCCTACCTGAGGCTATCATAACTTTAAAATTTTAACCAGAAGAGAAATACTTCTAGATAAAAAAATATATAAATTTTTTGCAAGTACACTCACCCCATTCCACCTTGCCCTTGATTCAAAAGCATCTGTCTTTTTTGCTGAAGATCCTGAAGAATCTGCCGATTTTGTGATTCTGCCATTACGGAACGCGAAAGATCGAAGCGAGATTTACTTTCACACGAAACAAGTGAATCTAATAAAGATGTAATTTTTTTTCTTAGAATCTGAAGCTTTTCTTAAAAATAATACTTAATCCTTCGATTCTTTAATCTAACAATTCTTAATTTTGACGTCTATTTTCCTGAATAACTGCCTTTGCAAAAATCAATAATTATTTATCGATTCGCCAAATAATGAAAGGCAACTTGGGTACTTATCGATAAATTATGCAACAACCACGACCGCGAGTTTTGAAACGAAGAATAAGTACCGAGAAGTTTTCTGATNCCCTTATTCTCATGACGTTAATGTATGATACAAGGATGATATTTTAAATAGAAATTAGATGCTAGTCGTTCTTAGGGCCCAAAGGGTTGATATCCACTTTTTATCTTCTAGTGCATTTAGCTTTCTTCTTGGACTTTATCCACCAAGAAACCAATCTCTCAATGTGACCTACGCTAGACAAGTTTTCTATGCACCATACAACATACAGCAGGTTTGTCTTTTTCTTTAATAATGGATAACAAGCTATAGTTCCATTCTCAGGCCTGGCAGCTGCATAATATACCCTGCCCCCCCCCCCAACCCATCCCCATCCCCAGCCTGTTTCACACCTTTTTTCCAGTTTTTTGGCCCTCGGCATTGTGAATTAAATAGGATTGTGGCTAAAATTATGATTAAGATAAACTGGGTACAGCTGTGAGTGGTAATTTTTGTTATGTCTATTGTCGACATGTTTCCCTTGTTGAGCAGTCATGGGCTTCTTTATTTGGTGATAATTTTCTTTATTCTCGTGGCCCAAGTGTTTGATGCAGTGGTTCTATGACATGGAGAGATTAGATCCTAGTCCTTGTTAGAGATTAAATGGTTGAATAAAATTTTTTTATTATTATTTGTATTTCTACCTATTTATGTTGTTTATGACAGGTTCCAGTACACACAGTTGCAGCAGAAAATGATCAAGTTCTTAGAGCATGGCTGGCTTGCCCTGAGCTTCAGAAGAGACTTAAACATTTTTACACAAGCTCTGAATTTGAGAAAAAAGAACGCGAGAGCGCTGAACTACGAAAACAGCTTGAAAACTCCCTGGGTGTTAAGAAGATTGACCTTAAGGACTTCTACAATGTGTAAGTGTTTTTATCAAAAGACAATATTCTGATTGCTCAGACTGTAACTAGCAAGATAGTGTTCTATGAGTAATATTGTTTTAAACAGTGCACTTAAATTGTAGTTGTTATTGTTGTTGTTTTTGTTTTTTTTGGCAGGTATGATTATATTCATCTTCATCAACTTTATAACCATACCTATCTGAATATTTCTGCCGAGCAATGGGAAAAAGTTGTGTATTTGGCGGACTGGGTTGAGTACCATAAATACAGCAAAGGGATGATTGGTGATATAGGAGGAGGGTTGCTAGCAAATGAGATTGCAGCAAGCTTCAGTGACTTTGTAACTAAGAAGACCAAGACGAAGGTTTGTCTCTCCATGACGTTTCTTGACCTTTTCATTCCTTCCTATTGAGTTTTAGGAACATTGCTATGTGGGAGCATGGAGGTCCCATGTCAGTGAGCATGTTGGACTCTCTGCAGAGATGTTCGGTGTTCGGGTCGTTGTTGAATGCTTAGCCAGACTTGACTTTCAAAGTGCCTTTCTCTTCTCAAGAGTGGTAATAGTTACTGCAAACAGTCAGAAAAGCCCACTACAATACTGGGAGTTATCCAGAGATGGACTAACTTCATGCTACAGAAAGTAGTATAAGCTCTGACTATAGGGCACTGACTTCACCTTTACTAGATATAGACATTACTCCCCGACCATTTAAAATTTTGCAGCCACCAGTGGTTGCAGAAATGGGTAGATGACGCAATCAGAGAGTAGATGTTTAAGTGACATGCGTCTCACATACATGTACTGCTAGGGTCAGCAATAGAGACATTTAGCACCGCGTTTACGTCAAACGGTAAACGTCAGCTTGCCCTTTTACGTTTCACGTAAAACAGCGTGAATCTTGCTGCTTTAGCTTCGCGTGAGCTCATGTTGTGGTGCATTTGAAGTCACCTTTGTATGACTTACAAGGAATAGTTTTTGGTACCCTTTTTCCGGCAATTAACTTCTACCCTGTGAGAGAAAAAGAGAAGAAAATGTTACGTACACTGCAAACACGAAACAGTTTACTTTCACGTAAAAACGGCAAAGCGCAACCGGCAAACGCGAAAAAATGGCGGGAAAACAAGGACAGGTGGTCGCTGTTGCCGTTCACGTTTCACGTAAACGGGGTGCTAAATCTCTCTAATGTTACAAAGGGCCTTGTGATTGGTCAAGTGCAGAGCTCAGAAGAGTAGTTCACCCTAAACTGGAAATTCAACGCTTCACCAGTCTTACGTCTTATTTTCCAGCTGCTGTATTACTCTGCACATTATCCAACGATGCTCTCTCTGTTTTCTTCGCTTGGTTTAAATAAAGCGGCTAACAGCACCTTGAGAGGAATTCCATCCTATGCTTCCTTGATATTCATTGAGCTGCTACATAATACTGCAGCTGACAAGTACATCGTTCAGTTTTTTTTCAAGAATGGTTTAAAGGTAAGCTTTTCGTGACTTTTTGAAATGCGTTTTTTGTTTTCGAGAAGACTCGTCGAAGTTTAACCACTGTATCCTGTTTTTTTTTTTTAAGAAACCTAATAAAAACAAATATGTAAAATTATTCATTAAGCCTGGTCTTCATTAACGAAGTGAGCACAAACTCTTAAAACATCTCCTATTTCACGGAGAAAACGGCCTCGATGCAAGCACAAGACAAAGGAAGATTTCTGATCCTTGTACTTGTGCTTGCGTCGAGGCGGTTTTTCGTGGTAAAATAACACCTGTTACCTTCGCGTTTGTGCTTAAGCTTGTGCCGGCGTTGCAAATGGAAACCGCGCTTAAAGGCTTTTTCTTCAGGTGTGCACTTGTATCAGCATATCTCTACAATTTTGCATCGGAAATTCCGAAATCCCCGTCATCTTTCTCACACAACTTTTTTCCTGTGCTAAATTTTAAAATGTGGTAAAGTGCTTTGAAAGCCCTCTATTGTATGTTAACTAGTGTCTTACAACATGAAGTGGCTGTAGTCTTATAATGACCGCTCTCTAAATGCCGTTTTCCGGTTGTTACACAAGTGTACCACACCGTTTAGTATTTTCGCAACACTCGTGACTTTTCTGACGCAAAATAATCACGAACCTGCCATCCCTTGGAAAAAGAAAAGAACATAACCGCCAAATTGTCAGGCTGAGGCATGGCCGTTGTCCAGCAGTACAATTACGTCATAAAGTTGTCTCGGGGATTTTAGAAATCGCGCTTAGCCACGTACCTTCAATTGGTTTGTTCCCGTCATTGTTCGCGAAATTTTTTGACTACGAAAAGTAGAAACAGTAAGGTTTTAGTGTTGCAGCATTGTTATCCTGGTAAAGCCCGAGAATGATTTCTTTTCCACAGGAACCATTGGAAAAATACAGTATTCCCGAATGTAAGGACGCATGCGAACTGAACAAGTTTGTAAAACTTGTTAAATCTTTCCAAGTTCGGGACGTTCCCTCGTGGTGTCACGCATGTGACAACACCCAACTGTCACGCTGTCAGGTGGCGCAACAGCAGTTCGATTGTCCCACTGTGAAAACTGAAGAACCTCGTCTATCGGGAACTGGTGGTTTTTTCCTCGGCGCTTTTGTCACGCTGCTCATAGTCATATGTGTCACAGCCTTGTGGAATTTTTACCTGCGCAACCGTTGTCTACCTGGTGGAACATACTGGCGCCCAAGGAAAGGCCTTTCTGATCTAGAAAATGCTCCCTCGCCGGGTGTGATTTGAGGCATGGGATAACATTCGCTCTTCGGGATATCACCCAACGCTGCCCCAATAGGAGATTTCTTTCAGGGGAAGAGGTGGGGAAGGACGTTGTGTGACATCCATATGAAGACTGCTAAAAGACACCAACTTCGTCCCCAGGGTTTCTCGGTCAGATTTTTCCAAGATGGTGGCCGGTCCAAAGAAGCTCTCTCGGTCCGCCGCCATCTTGAAAACTGGCCAAAAAAGCCTCGAGAACGAGATTGAAGAAACATAAGATTGTTTTATTTTAAGGGTACTGACCGCGAGATAAGTAGAGATATGAACATAGTACTCGCTAGATCACTAATATCTTATATTCAAAGGAAGACACTTAACTCTGTCAGCGCTTCTCTCCTCTCATAAGTATAGATGGAAAAATCGTATGGTTGCTTGTCTAGGAAGCCTTAAGCAAACATATACAAAAGATTTTCACGCATTTAATGTTAAAAAAATGCTGCTTTTTTGAAGGCGGTTACATTTTTGCGGGGCATTGCGATTTCATGTACTTATCCCCGGCACATCTTTTAACTTATAAAACTGAGATTTTTTACATCATTAAAAAAAGAATGTAATACATTATTACCCTATTTTGCGTCACAGGTTGTCCTTTGAGTCTCTATTGTCACGCAACACTTGAGGTTGCAGTGCATGACCATTATGTAACGGTGGGTCTTTGAAGAAGAGGAAGAAGAAGAAGAAAACTTTATTTAACGAGGGTAAAACACATTGATTACTGGTCACCCAGTAGTTTTCATAATGGCCCTCCTACAATTAAAAATAATAAAACGTCTCGATCAAATTAATCAAGTCTTTCATCAGTTTCGTGGCCTAACTTCAGTTTTCCAAATTTATCCAGTTTTTTTTTTAAAAATTATACCAGTGATTAAAAAGCACTTAATGACGGGCCACGTGGGAAACAGTGAGCTTTGCTTCCCGAAACCGTTGCCATAGGAATGTTCGGTGTCGAGGATGAACTAACTTTTTTTTTTTGCCTCTCCACTTAACAGTAGCACGAAGTATCATTCTCTTGACGCGGTTTCAAGGTGCACGACATGATCAAATGCGAGTCGAAAGTTCATCAAGTTGTTGTTTTCTCAGGAAGTTGATGAGTTTTGGTATGTTCCCCTCCTGATTAGGAAAAGCGTTTGAGTTTAGAGGTTAAACAATTGCCCTCTCCCTCTCTGAACATCCTTAATAATAGAGAAATTTAGCACCGCGCTTAAGTGAAACGGCTAGCGTCAGCTTGCCCTTCCACGTTTCACAAAATAGCGTTTACAAAATAGCGTGCTTTAGCTTCGCATGAGGTTACGTCATGGTAGATTTGAAGGGGGCTTGACTTACAAGGAATAGTTTTGGTGCCCTTTTTCCGGAAATTAACTTCTACTCTGTGAGATAAAAAGCGAGGAAAAGCTTACGTACACGGAAAACGCAAAACAGGTTACTTTCAGGTAGAAACAGCAAAGTGCTATCAGCAAACGTGAAGAAATGGCGGGGAAAACGAAGTCACGTGGTCACTTGCGGTTCACGTAAACGGGATGCTAAATCCTTAAGATATCACTCAGTTTGTACGTGTGCTATGATTGGTCAATTTAGCGGGCCGTATTTGACTGTACGGCCCGCTAAATTTAAAAGTTTGTTTAAATTGAAATCCCTCTCTGTTTAAACCCATGTCCGGGACATGATTGATACCTCACCAAATCGTTTTCACAGTGCACACTGTAAGTAGAGAAATCTTTTTTCTGGTGGTTATGTAAATTGGCCACTGTAACGATTACAAAAGCTGACGTTTCGAGCGTTAGCCCTTCGTCGGAGCGAATAGAGGAATTGTGGGTTGTGTTTGCTTTTAAAGGCAGAAAATGGAGCTACATTATTGCATGGTGGGAACATGGGGACGAGAAAACCACGAATAAATTAGTGGAATGAAAAGCGTTCCTTGATACCTGTGGGATTTAGACTGCCGGTTTGAAAGATGAGCTTTTGTTCAAGAGTTTTACGGCTTTCCGTGCTACCTAAGTGTAAGGAAAGAAACTTCGTGTTTTTCTCGTTGCCATGTTCCCACCCATCACGGAGCTCCTTTTTCTACCTTTAAAAAGCACACACAACCCACAATTCCTCTATTCGCTCCGACGAAGGGCTAACGCTCGAAACGTCACCTTTTATAATCGTAACGGTGGCCAATTTACCATTTCAACTTAGTTTATATATTCAAATTAATAAATTTAGACATGTAATCCTTGAGGAAAAACTGAGCAGATTGAAATTTCTGAACAAGTTTGCAAAATTTTGATCTCATAGCAAATCCAGTCCTTTCCATAGTTCAAACATTACCTAGATCCTTTGCTTTCCCTCCCTTGGAGAGCTGAATTCGCTAAGAATAATGCACTAAATAATGCTTTACACCAAGAAACTTAAAAAAGAGGATGGAAACCTTGTCATTGAGTATCAAAAGAAAAAAAAATTGGATGCAAAGGTAAACACAACAGCCACTCAAGCCTGAGGAAAATACCCCAGGGAGCCCATGGGAGCTCAAAGAGGCCACAAGCACACTTCCAAAAGCGCGGTAAAAAGCGAATAACTCAGTCTGATCAGGGAAAGTTTGAGTCTGGTAATATACTGCTTTAAATTGAACGTTTTGTTCACCTTAGTGTAAGAAAGCAAAGATTCATAGGATGCTTCAGCTCAGTAATTTGACTGCAATTTCCTTTATTCGGCAAGTAATCATTGTTGTCCCATGCAATCAATGTTACCTCCAGCTTGTTTGGAATTTCCAATAAGTTGTATTAAATGTTCGACCGCTCCTAACGCCACAGTTCATACTGAAATAATTTATCTCCGTAAATCCTTTTTAAAGCCCCCCCTCTGATAAGCCCTCTTCTTTAAGGGAAGAAATTTATTAACTCCCCCTCTACTAAGCCCCCACCCCTCTCCCTCAAAAACAAAAATTCAAAATAACACTCCATGTCAGGAGGTACGATAAATTTATTCAAGTACTGTAATTTTAGTTTTTCATTTAAAATTGATTATGGTGATTGATTGATTTGCGCATTTGATCATATGTAAATGGAATTTGCGCACTACGAATATTAAACTATT